ACAAGTGTTGAAAAGGGTTGGGGCCAGGACACATCCCTGTCTCACCCCGGCAGACACCGGGAAGAAGGCAGAGATGCCCTCCCCACACTTGACAGCACTCTCAGTATCTGTATACAGGCCAGACAGCAAACCAATAATTCCAGGGGGGGATCCCACGGAGACCCAGTAGGCTCCAGAGACTCTCCCGGTGCACTTAGTCAAAAGCCTTCTTGAGATCAACATAAGCTGCAAGCATACCCTGTTGAAACTCAAGTCGGCGTTCCACAAGGACACAAAGTGCTAAGACACGGTCTATGGTTGACTTCTTGGGTGTAAAACCAGACTGCTCAGGTCTCTGTGCTCGTAATAAGTGGTCGTGCCCTCGTGCCAGAAGCAGATGAGCGAGGACCTTGCCTGGTACGCTGAGCAATGTAATACCTCTGTAGTTGCCACAGTCCTTTTGGTCCCCTTTCCCTTTCCAGATAGGGATGAGCAAGCCCCTTTTCCAGTCAGGGGGAATGGTACCAGTCTCCCAAACGGCAGACAGGACTGCATACAAACCACAGATCATGGCTTCTCCACCCGCCTTCAACAACTCTGCAGCAATCCCACAGACACCAGCAGCCTTTCCACTTTTCAGCTTAGACACTGCCCTTCTCACCTCTTCGATGGAAGGTGGTGCCTCACTGATTAGTGGATCAGCCACTAGTGGCTGTGTGCCAGCCAACGGGAGTTGTGAAGACGGGGGATCTACCCTATACAGTTGCTGAAAGTACTCAGCCCAGCGGGCCCTATACTCACCAGGCTCTGACACAATGCGACCAACCTCTGCTCTCACTGAGCCCGATTGAGAGATGGACTTTGATCGGAGTTCCCTCAGGGCTCGGAAAGCAGGTCGAAGGTCATTTTGGGCAAAATGACCTTCCAACTCTTCCATGATGCCCCTAACGTACCTCTCTTGGTCCACTCTCAATGAGGCCCTAGTATAGCGAGACAGCTCCCTGTGCAAGACATGGTTCCCATCCAGTCTGGCAGCACGACTCATCTCTATAGTGTTCAGTGTCTTGTCTGAGACAACACACCTCCTTTGCCGAGTTCAGACCCCAAGGCACTCCTCGGCAGCTGACAGAGTTCCTCGCTTAAAGGTATCCCACAGTTCAACAGGGTCCTGTAGAGTACCAAGCACTTCAAACTGATTTGAGACTGCCACTGCATACTCCTGAGCCACCTCCTCACTCTTGAGCCTCTCGAGATGGAACACCTGCTGGTGAGATCTCGGGATGCGTCTAGATCTGAGGCGGAGCCTTAGTGTTGTGACAACAAGTCTATGGTCGGTAGCAAAGAACTCAGCGCTCCTAAAAACTCTACAGTTCTGAAGGATCCTCCAGCAAGTATCCACGAGAATATGGTCGATCTCTTTAGCTACAACGCCAGTATTGGAGTACCAAATCCAGCGGTGTAGATCTCGTCTCTGGTACCACGAGCCTGCAATCCTCAGCCTCCTATATCTTGCGAAATCTAAAAGGTATGAGCTATTGATATTCCTAGTACCAAAGCCATAGGGACCGATGCATAGCTCATATCCTTCCCTGTCAGTGCCAGTGACTGCACTGAAGTCCCCCAAGACCATGAGGGTGTCCCCCCGGGGACATTGATCCACTATAGAGTCAAGTTTGTCGTAGAACATCTCTTTCTCTTCAAGCCCACTTCCCTCAGTAGGAGCGTAAACTGCAACTAGAGATATGAAGCCCAAAGTGTGCTTCATTCTCACAATACGTTCGTCAACAGGGGTAACCTTCTTGACTGAGGAACGGAAGCGGTCAGAGACAGCCACCGCGACTCCCCTAACGCGCGCACCATTACTACAGCCAGACCAGTAGTAGGTATAACCCCCACTATTGGTCTCACCACAACCAGGCCGTCGCACCTCAGAGAGAGCAGCAATGGCAATCCCCAGCCTCCCCAGCTCCCCCGACAACAAAGGCAGTCGATCATCCTCCGAGAGACTGAGGATGTTCCAGGCCGCTACACGGCACGCTTGCCGCAGATTGACCCCATTTGTGGGGCTCCGGCCGGGCGACGCCTCAGCACAACCAGGCATGCCTCCCAAGGAGGAAGAGTGGGGGCCGGGGGGGCCATCCCCCCCACCACGTACCTCAGGGTGCAGGATTATCTGGGAGGGCTTTGCCCTACACCCGTCATAACAGGCTCGTCGTCCTGATCAGGTAAGCCCCTGGTCAGGACGCCGAGCCAGGGATCAGGAACCCCCGGCCGCAAATCGGGGTCGGAGTGACCTCCTCCGGGATGGCTCCGACCCCTTCTCTCCTTGGTTTGCCCACTGGTAAGGGTTTTTACGGGACCGGGTTGCCAGCCCGACCCCAACTGCTAGTTAGGAGCAAGGACGCAGAACTCCCTGTGGACAAATTGCCCCTGTTTTATATATATATATATATATATATATATATATATATATATATATATATATATATACATATATATATATATATACACATACATACACATATATATACATACATACACACACACACACACACACACCACATACGCACACACAGATATATCTGTGTGTGTGTGTATGTATGTATATATATGTGTGTGTATGTATACATATATATATATATATATATATATATATATATATATATATATATATATATATATGTATATGTATATATGTGTGTGTGTGTGTGTGTGTATACACACAAACACACACACATCTGTGTGTGTGTGTGTGTGTGTGTATATATATATATATATATATATATATGTATATATTTATGTTTGTATATATATATATATATATATATATATGTGTGTGTGTGTGTGTGTGTGTGTGTGTGTGTGTGTATTAAAGTTGGGCATTTTACTAGTTATTTCAGATTCCAACAGTTTCCTTTAGTACGGATTAGCTAATTTATGAATTAATTTAGCGTTTTTCCAGTTAAGCTGGTGACCTTCATCACGCAAATGAACGAAACACGCATTTCAATGTCTGGCATATCTAACATCACGTTTGCATTTATATATATGTAAATATATATATATATATATATATATATATATATATATATATATATATATATATATATATATACACTTATATATATATACATATATATACACTTATATATATA